CCAAATTTTTACTGTTGTGAGGTATTTGTAAAAACTGGCAATGTACAATCTCAGTCTCTGTAACTTCAGAAGACTTTTGCATTAAACACAGCAGGTTGTTTAAATGATCACATCAAGTGGTATGTACAGAGAGACTTCAGAGGAAAATAATGGATCTCAACAAAAAATTGAACTTTTTATTTCCAATGATTCAGGTTCTGATTTGCTTAGCCGAAACATTGACGTGTAAGCTATGAAGAATATAAAAAAAACTTAGAGAAATGAAATGATATGTATGAGTATATGACCTTGCTTGTATGAGCCGTTCATATGAAGAATCAGGTGAGAGACATGTCAGACATTTTCATGTTGGCCGTATTAGAATACGACAGTCTTGTGTGTAAGATTTTTAGAAATTATCGGATGGTAGCTGCCAAAGGAAAATGTTCCAGTCAATGTTCCGATGAGACAAGTAGAGATGAGCTCACCTTATCACACATGTTATATCGACGGGAAGTTCTCCGTCCTGCCATTTATGCAACATTTCAACCAGACAATGATCCTACAGACAGAAGAATCACAGAAGTTGAGGACAGAAAACAAGAGCACACAGAGGAAGGAGATGGCATGTAATGGACCTGTTTGCACAGTAAAAGAGCAATCTTGTATTTGGGGTCTAGAGAGGGCACTCGTACAACGGAGCTCAAAGCACAGAACTTTTGTGCAATAGTTTGAAAATCTTGAGCCATCTGACTCCTCGGCCATTTTACAGGATCAAATACAAACTCGCTGCCCAAGAAATCACCTTTTCATCACAACAAAACCCAAAAATAGTATCTTTAATTGATATGATAATCTATGTAAGTCTAGTGACCAGTTGTGTTACCGTGGTGGGGCTTTTAGCTAGCGGCTGAGTGGAAAATTTTGAGCAGCGAAATGGAAAACTACAAACTTGGGAAGGTATCTTACATTATGAACCTAGTGTGGACAGCTATTACCTGGCAGGTCTTCAACATCGGTGGCACAGGACTGATCTTCAAGCTTTCTGCTCTGTTTTCAAATGCAATAAGCGTTTTGGGATTGCCCGTGGTTCCCATCCTGGCTGTTATCATATTCCATGACAAAATGAATGGGTTAAGGATCATTTCTATGATCTTAGCTATTTGGGGTTTCACATCCTATGTCTACCAACACTATCTTGATGACAAACATTTGAAGAAAAGTCATCGAATCTCAACAACGGAATCATCCGAGCCACCAAAAGCAGAAGGGTCAAGTGATGCACCAAGAGTAATACCTTGAGATTTACCAAGCAGAAATAACATCCAGTCTACATGAGCGATTCTTACTCTAACTAGCCAATCCTCTTCTTCTTTAACTCTTTGACCAGAGCCACAAGAACCAGAAACATTCCTTTTCACTTTGTTTCTGAGAAACTGATTTCCTCATCAGCTTTCTGCAAAAGTCCATCTCCTTGGTCCCTTTCCTATCCTAGAAACAAGACCTTTGTTTCTCTCCTGGAACTTTTCTATTACCAGCATAAACTGTGATTGAGAAACAGAAGACACAACAAACCAGAAAATCACCAAGTAATTCAACCTTACACTGGTGAGACTCTCAAATCCTTTGAGAGTATAATCCTTATCCTTGAGACTAACCTTTCACCCAACAACTCTTCAAATCTGTCCATACAGATTTGAGCCTTGAGAGTTGACGATTTGATTCTGATTTTTTCATAACTTTGAGTCAAATACATTAACTCATACCTTCATGAACCTGAATCGAACTGATATTGCAGAGAACCTCCACCATAAACCAACTCACAGTAGATTAACCTGCACATATCAAGAACATCATCTCTAACTATGTGAATTCTGCATTTGTCTCAGGATATCCTTTCACTTGTGCTTGCAACATCTTTACCTGCAAGTTCTTAAACCCAACTTGCATCGTTGCACAATCGTGACCCATTTGGAGGATTACAATGAGTAGGCTTTCTGATTTCATAGACCTGAAATCACCTCACCCAATTCAATCATTACCGATTGTGGTGACTCTGATCATTAATCATCACCATCTTCTTCTTCCTCCTGCTCGAGATTTCAACACTCTTAAATCACGATGTTTCTATCACCAAGAAACCTTCAAGTCTTCTTCTCTAGAGGTTCTTATATTCTTTTTCCTGAATCAGACACCATCTTTCACGGAGAATTTCTTTACGTTGGGCCCATTCAATTTCCTCTTCGTTTTATTTCTTCAATCGTGATAATCTCTTTCTGTTGAAAAGAATTTTCTGATTGCGTATCAGAAGAAATTCAGATGACTGAGTTCTGCATCTTCCGACAGCGAACTTCTTTTCGATAGCGACAAGCAGCGAACCCGATACGCTTCCGACCACAATCTCTGCCTTTTTCCAGTGATCTACTTTGTCGCCATCTTTCTCTGTGAGCTTCCGACACCGAAGAACCCATCACTGATTCTTCTTCCTTGAATTTCAGCTTGCAAAATCACAAATTTTACAAAGTCTTTGGAGTCTTCTTTTCTACAACTCGTGATGGACCTGATTCTACTTCCAAAAAATCACACATCGCCTTTACCGGCGAGTCATCACCTTCCAGCTCCGACAACATCACCTTGTATCGCAGATTTTCCTTTTTGCAATTTGGGCATAAATTCATCTTTGGCCCAACTTACTTTCTCCAAAACAACTCTTATCAATTTTGAGCAGGCCCATCTTGGCCCATAAAGAGATTTGATGACTAATGTCCAAAGTCATCTTCACGTTTCTTCCTTGAAGAAGAAGAAAGAAACAAACCAGCAACCCTTTTTCCCTCCTTGTCATATGAGACCCCATCTATAACCTTTGGTGCTCGCGACTAACTCCCAGAGCTCCATCGAATCTTAATCGTGTCGATTTCACGAGCCCATCAGAAACACTGGTATTGCCTTTACCGGCAAACTCCACCACGATGAATCAATCTTCCCTCTACGTCGTAGACATCATCTAAGACCAGTCACTAATAATTCTTTTGATTTTTCTCTTCTCTTCTCTTCATAGTCGGTCTCCTTTTCTATCTCACTAACATACGTGTTGGGCCTGGACCTGCGGCCCAACATTCTGAACAGTTCGCGAGAAGCCCGACGGGCTGCCAGATCCCCAGAAGCCCGACGGGCTGCCAGAAGCCCATTCCGAAGCTTTAACCACGGTCTGACCACACCTAGGAGATAACCACGGTCAGCTGAACTCGAGTTAAACTCAACGCCGTTCACTATAAATAGACGAC